TTAAAAAGAAAAAGCCATTTCATGCGTGCCTCCTCCGGGCTGCCGGGCTGCCGTTTACCTTCACATGATTTCCCCTCACAACCTCAGATCCTTGAGGCTTTTCACACCAGTGTGTCTCCACACTCTGTTGGGGGTCACGCAGGCCTGACGCCGTAGGAAATGCCCCCACCGTAAAAAACCCACCTTTTATCAGCATGTGTGAATATGTAAATGTGCTCTTCCCTTTTCCCAAAATCTTTTTAAAAACATTTTCATTTTGTAGCTGATGAGAAAGATAGAAGCGTCTGTTGCACATCGGATTGACCCACTTCTGTTTTAATGCATGAGCAGGATGTACGTTCACCTTTTGTGCCTAAAAAAATGCCCTATTTGTTTCTTCCGCAGAGGCTGCGGCGGCGCCTCCTCCGGAGCCCGAGGAGCCCTTTGATAACAGCACTTATAAAAACTACCAGCACCACAGCTACAACACCTTCACGTTTGCAGACCTGGACGTAGAGATGGCCAAGTTTCGCCTCCCTCAGCCCTCCTCCATTAAACCCTAAGAGGACCCTGGCAGCCCCCCCACATACAGGACCGGATAATCCACACAAAACCAGGAGCTTCTACTTTAGAATCTTGTCTTACTGCTTATTCACGCACACTATTGCACCATTGCCCCTTATTTCACCATGGCAGACAGTATGTCATATAGTTACAAATGGACAACAGGGTAAACGTTACGTGCTTCTACCTAGGAATAACTGCAACGGTAATACTATCGTGAGACCAGTTAAACAAAATCACAATAACGAAGGAGGCTGATTAGTTTCCTCCCTGGAAGAATCGTTGACCAAGATTAAAGCAGATGGTGAGATTAAAAATAATGTAACAGCCGATGAAGGTTATAATTCAGGGGCACAATAGTGCGCTACGCTTATGTTTTTAACCAGGGCCAGGTGTCGCTTTCCTACCTTTTGAACTACGCTTCCTACGTCACTGTATTAGGCACGGTGAGGGAGTGAAAAGCAGTATCATTAAAATAGACGCAAAAGACAACTAGAGGCCCAGAAAGCTGTGAAAAAAACTGAAGGATGCCATCACCTGTTTAGCAAGGGCAGGGAGGCTGTCCGGGCAAAGCTTCTTTGGCTTCCCCTAAGTCAGAAAATAAGAAGATAGAGTATGCACCACTGATACCCAGAGCAGACACGACCCATTCTCTATTCAAATGACCCCGGCCAAGACCCATCATACCAAGGGCTGCTGGACTGTTCTCCGTAAGTTCAGGTTATTTAGGGCATTTTCCAGCTTTAACAAAACCTTTTAACCCAAAAAAAAGACAAAGCCCAAAGCACAAAACGGACGAAGTAACCGGTTTGAGTGCATTTTGCTTTTGTTGCAAGCCAGTTTTTCTACCCTTCACCGGCTTCCAGCAAAAAATATAACGAAACGCGATTTCTTTAATGTTCGACAAAAAAATAATAAGAAAAACATATATTTGGTAGATTCCCTTGGTTATATAGCGCTAAAGCTTATAAATAGTCAATCTCCCTTCGGTCATTATTTTGTCTTCAATTCCATTTTGTTTTGGAAAATCATATCGTGAACCAAACCACACAAAGCACACAACAACTACAACGACTCAGTTCATGCGTGGTGGACTTTAAATAATAGGCCAACATTTCAACAGTCGGAATTTCCATGCTCATTTCAGGATGAAAATCCTACGTAGAAGACCAGCGACATCATCTTAGACACGTAATCCAAAGGTTTGCAGCCCGAAGGGGCCTGCCAGGGTCCTCTTGAGGGTTTTAATGGAGGACGGGCCTGACAGGCGAAACGTTGGCAATTCTTACGTCCAAGCGTCTGCAACGTGAAGGTGTTGTAGCTGTGGTGCCCGGTAGTTTTTATACAGTGCCTGTTATCAAAGGGCCTCTCGGGCCCTCCGGAAGGAGGCCGCCCGCCGCACCGTTTGGCGGAAGACAACCAAGATAGGGGCATTTTTTTTAGGGGGCAGCCAAAAAAGGTGAACGTAAACATCGCTGCTCAATGCATTAAAGCCAGAAGTGGGTCAATCCGATGGCAAGCAAGACGCCTTCTATCTTTCTCAATCAGCTAACCCACAAATGAAAATGTTTTTTAAAAAAGATTTTGGAAAAAGGGAAAGAGCCAACATTTACCATATTCACGACCATGCGCTGCGATAAAAGGTGGGTTTTTCTACGGTGGGGGCATTTCCTAACGGGCCGTCCAGGGCCTGCGTGACGCCCAAGAGACGTGGTGGACGCACACCACTGGTGTGCAAAAGCCTCCAAGGGATCTGAGGTTGTGAGCGGGAAATCATGTGAAAGGTAG